TCTGAATCTCTGAATTTCTGAATTTCTGAATCTCTGAATTTCTGAATTTCTGAATTTCTGAATTTCTGAATTTCTGAGATTCAAGATTTTTGAATTTCTGAATTTCTGAATTTCTGAATTTCTGAATTTCTGAGATTCAAGATTTTTGAATTTCTGAATTTCTGAATTTCTGAATTTCTGAATTTCTGAATTTCTGAATTTCTGAATTTCTGAATTTCTGAATTTCTGAATTTCTGAGATTCAAGATTTTTGAATTTCTGAATTTCTGAATTTCTGAATTTCTGAATTTCTGAATTTCCGAATTTCCGAGTTTCCGAATTTCCGAGTTTCTGAATTTCCGAATTTCTGAATTTCTGAATTTCTGAATTTCTGAATTTCTGAATTTCTGAATTTCTGAATTTCTGAATTTCCGAATTTCCGAGTTTCTGAATTTCCGAATTTCTGAATTTCTGAATTTCTGAATTTCTGAATTTCTGAATTTCTGAATTTCCGAATTTCTGAATTTCCGAATTTCTGAATTTCCGAATTTCCGAGTTTCTGAGATTCAAGATTTTTGAATTTCTGAATTTCTGAATTTCTGAATTTCTGAATTTCTGAATCTCTGAATTTCTGAATTTCTGAATTTCTGAATTTCTGAATTTCTGAGATTCAAGATTTTTGAATTTCTGAATTTCTCTGAATTTCTGAATTTCTGAATTTCTGAATTTCTGAATTTCTGAATTTCTGAATTTCTGAATTTCTGAATTTCTGAATTTCTGAATTTCTGAATTTCTGAATTTCTGAATTTCTGAATTTCTGAGATTCAAAATTTTTGAATTAACTTCGGAAAAATGCAAAATTTTTCGAAAAATAGAGAAAAATTTCTATCTGCTCGCTTTCTGTAAATTCGGATTAAAGTGGAATTTTATAGAAAAAACTACTGAATATCAATGTTTATTTCTCTTCATAAAACAAAAGGAAATATTGAGTTATCAGTTATCTATTGTTGTTCTTCACTTCTTGCTCTTCTTCGTGCTCTTCTTGGAACTCTTCATTCCGCCACCACCACTGCCTCCTCCACCTCTCTTCTTGCGACAGCATAACAAAAAGACCACGACACCAATGATGCCAATCAGAAGGAGAGCAACACCTCCACAGACAGCAAAGAACCAAATCGGAATGTTAAGAATTGATTGATGATACCGTACCGTAGCTTACCTGAGTATAAAATGGCC